GGGTTTAGGCGTACAATATGTATTGAAGGATTTTGATACTGAGGTGAAGTTAACTCTGGAGAGCGGTGCCAGTGCAGCAGTAGCTATAGCCAGCAGGAGAGGATTAGGGAAGGTGAGGCTTATGGAAGCCTGCCAAGAAGAGGGTGATAAGAGAAACAAAAAGGAGAGGAGACATAGGAAACATCAAACTTTCCGCCCATGGACATCCGGCAGACACGTTAACCACATACGTTAGCAACAAACCATGCTCAGGAAACACATGCGTGGCACACGCCAACTCGCGCTTGAAGGGTAACCACCCTGTGCTGAGGGGCCCGCAGCCGTTTGAGGTCAGTTGCCGGCCGCCGCTGCTGATTGGCGTCCGACTGCCGCCCCGCTCCCGAGCGTGTGACGCGCCTGATGGGCCAAGATCCCGCTACCACGGTCGGGCCTCGCACAGGAGAAGAGGTTACCAAGGATCATCTCCTGGAACGTTCGGTGGCAACTCACTTGGGCCTCCCATGCCCTCTTGCTGGTTCTTGCGAATCGACGCTAATCGACGCTACATCGACGCTAATCGACGCTCAATTGACGCTACATCATCGACTACCTGACGATGACGGCCGCGAGTGCACTCTGAAGACAGAATCACGAGGGTAGACAAGGCTCCCGTGACTTGAAACCGAAGGAACGCCTGGCCAAGCAGAAGTTGATCATGGATCACATGGGCCAGGTGTTCGAAACGACCGAGAGTTACAGCCGCCGCCACCCTGGCAGGCCGAGACGGACCGCAACGTGCATCGTGTCGAGTTGCAACAGGTGATGGTGGATTGCGATGCAGCGTTGCAAGAAACGCTCAACGCCCGTATCCGAGTCACCCAGGTCAACAGTCGCAAGATCGCGAAGATCATGGCCAAGGTCGCGGAATTAGCCACTACCACCTCGAGGATCGTCCAAGGGCTACCCAAGCCGGCCAATATTCAAGTCAAAGCCGACGTTACATCTCAAATGGAGGAGATACCCGACATAATGTACTCGGTTAACGACGTCTCCCACAGCAAGGCCAGCATCGCAGAGTTTACGGGTCATGTCAGGGGGAAAACAAACCTACCTCGCTCTTGACCACCCTCGCTTCCAAGAGATACCAAACGATGCCACTTTGCAGCCTGTACTGGTCAGGCCGCCTGACGAGGAGGCGCGTGGCATGGCCTGGTTTTGCCTGGAAGCGAAAGCAGGGTAGGTAATTCACGCTCTGACATGTGCGACCCTTGTCACCCTCCGACAACCAAGACGTCTGGGTTACCGCTCCCGGGTCCATCACCGACCGAGGCCACCGAGGAGGCCAAATCGGCCAAGAGGCGCAGCCACTCCCAAGCCCAAGATGAATGACCGCTACCCCCGCGTCGACGGTAACGAAGGGGCCCCAGGACACACAAATAAATACACACAAATTCGCCGGCCCAACGGGCCAGAGGCGTGCTAAGATCTCCGGTAACTGGTTAACAATTTTCTAGTTCGCGCGCGCGGGGCGGCCCCTGGGGGTCCCCGGACGAAAAGTACCCCGACCAGGTCCCGGCCGGTCCCCGGCCGGGTCCCGGCCGGGTCCCGGCCGGGTCCCGGCCGGGTCCCGGCCGGGTCCCGGCCGGGTCCCCCCGAGCGCTCCATGAGCGCACCAACAGGGCTCCGAGACGTCCCCGAGAGCCCCAAGAAAGGCCAAGAGGCCCCCAAGAGGCCCCCAAGATGGTACACGAGGGGTCCGACATGCCACAAGATCGCTCCAAGACGCCCAAGATAGCCCCCAGACGCCCCAAGAGGCCTCCAAGAGCACTCCCAATAGGGCCCCCGGAGGCAAAAATCATTGTTTTTCCATAGGTTTTTGAGAGATTTTGGAGCTTCCACCTTTTCGGCTTCCCGACGCCCCAAGACGGCCCAAGAGGCCCCCAAGATCGCCCCAAGAGGGCCCAAGAGGCACCCAAGAGGGCCCCAAGATGGCCCAAGAGGGCTCGAAGACGGCCCAAGAAGCCTCCAAAACGGTCCAAGAGGGCCCCAAGAACGCCCCCAAAGGGGCCCCAGAGAGGGAACACGAAACAACATTTCGAGCCCTCGGCCCTAAGAAGCCCCTACGAGGCCCCTAAGAGGCCCCAAGAGGCCCCCACGGGGCCCTCAGGAGGCCCCCAAGAGTCCCCCAAGCGGCCCCAGGAGGCCCCCCAAATGCCCCCCCGAGCGCCCCAGGAGTCCCCCAAGCGGCCCCAGGAACCCCCAAAGCGCCGCATTGACGCCAGGCCCTCGGGCAAACGGCAGACATGAGACTGTATGGGCCGGCGGAATGAGCGAAGCGATTAAATAAACATTTTCTCCATATTTTCCCATATTTTCTGGGTTTCTGTCTTCCCCCCCACTTCCCATATTTTCCCATATTTCCCTGGGAATCGACGATTAATTGTGTCTGTGTGTTTTTTCCCCTCCTGAGGTAAGAAAGAGCCCCAGCGGGAGCTCTGACGTCACCAGAGGGAACCAGTGGTGCGTCGAGCAAAACGGGAGCACCAGCGAGCAGATTTAACTTGCCTCAAGTGGCTTCTGTGTTACATTCTCGAAAAACCTTGCCTGTCCCGTCGCGTCCCTATCCGCGTCGACTCCGTGTCGCGTCCATGCCGGCCTCGTTGGATCGGTGTCGAATCCGTGTCGAAGCCGAGTCGAATCCACGCCAAATCCGCATCGAGTTCGCATCGAGCTCGAAAATGTCGGGAAAGGCGATCAAAAAGAAAACACAAACATGGGCAGAAGAACAGTCACCCATTTTGGGGACCGGCGAGGTCCCCCGAAGATGCAACGTAAAATGGCGCCCCCGAAGATGCAACGTGAAGTGGCGCCCTCGCCGGTGGTTGCGGAGGAAGTCAAGGAAGTGGGCCCAATACCGGCTGACCCGCGCCAACGTCCGGTTCAGCCGACGAGCCCACGGAAACCACAAAAACCGCCAGGGCGAGTCCCCCACCTCGGGAAGGTAATCCGTTGCCTGTAGAAGTGCCTCTTACCTCTTACGAACGAGCAGACCGCTCGCAACCATTTTTCACGCGTGTCCGTGAGCAGCTGGTCAACAGCGACATGTACGCCCCAATTTCACGGCCACTCCGAATGCCTACAACATGGTAACCCAAACGGTTCATCACTTCTGCCGCAATTACAATGGTAATTGGATCGGAGAACCAAATCCGAGGTTTACTCACAAACGTTCATGGAAACGGGTTACCCAGGACGATTGCGAGAATTTCCAGACGAGGTTCGTGCCATTTTTCGGGGACCTGTATCGGCAGTTACCCATGACGCTGTCTGAAGGCCAACCTGTGTGGCAGACCGAGCACTCTGGGCACAGGGCCGAGCAGTATGAGTTATGTGTTCAAGCCATCTTAGCACTGCAATCTAAATTGCCCCTTGTTTACCAGGTGCCCAGGAGCGTTGTTGAGGTACACCCGAACTTCACCGCCCGTTCGCGTTCAGGGTTCCCGAGTCATGGTCCAGAGTCACAGATCTACATCCAGGACCTTGCAGAGTTACAGGAGAAGGAGTTGCTGGGATTGGTCGTTGTCTGGTTTGGCATGTGCTGGCCTGGGAACCCGTTGATCATCGGTGTTAAAGACTAACTGGACGAGGAGTCTGGGAATAACCATTGGGAGATCGCCAAGGGCACCATGGCCGCTAGGTTTGCCACCCAAGCATTCGCCGACCACCTCCTCAAGATTGCCGATGCGTCCGGGGTGTTCTACCAATAATGCGATTCCAACGAGCAGTTAAAGCGGGACGAGCTCGAGGTCTGGAGCCACACCCGATGTCGTCTGGTACCAAGCGGTCTTGAAGGTTTCGATGTCCACCAACGCTCGTCCCATCAACGTGTATGCTGGCTCGTTACCGTTAACTGCTCCGGGCGTGAGGCACCGTTCTGCGGGCAATATTTATATCCATATCCAGAGCGTCTTGGACTTTTTTGGAAGGGGCGCCGCAAGGCCGAGGCGCACTGGGTATGGGTAAAAATCTAGCCTTTTGGAGGCATATTCTAATCCATATCCAGTGCGCTTCATGCTTCTTGGGAAGAGAGTCCGAAACTCCAAGGCGCACTGGATGTGGATATAGACATTGCCCGCACGTTCGAACCAACGCAAGGAGTCGCTTCTGTGGCAGGTGATGTCATCGGGTCGCGACTTTGACACGTGGGTACAGGGCAGCCACTGGCTGGTTGACGACGATGTCCGCTGCGGGTGCTGGACCGGTACATCGAGCAGCTCCAGAACGCCTGGTTTGAGCACGGACTACTGTGACCCTGGCGATGCCGCCAATAGGTTGTCCATGCTTTTTTTTTCTGCCTGGGCTGTGTATGCTGATAATTGCGATTGTCAAGCGCGCTCGCTGGAGGGCGCCCGCGCGCTTCTCTGGGGATCCCTTGCCTGTCACTGCCTCAAGCTACAGCGATGTAACATCGCACTGCCTGCTGCCAGCGCGACTTGCTGCAGCCACTCGATGCCAATAGGTTGTCCATGCTGTGGTCCGACTACTACGACGGTGGCGCGACGAGGGCTGGTGGCCCGACGCATTCGCCCGTTGCACCTGGGCGTCGTTAAGGCACGGCTGGCAAGATCTACGTCCTCACATTCCTCTACTTTATGATGTTACCGAAGTGAGTGCTACAACCGACCAATTTTGACTACTATGATCATTTGAACGTGTTAACTCGATTTCTACGCAAATCGAATTCGCTTGCGTACATGCTTATTAAGCAACACTTTCAAGCTCGGCTCTTTTGACGCTTACCTATCCGGGTGACGTTGATGTTTCGTTTGCCCAGGTCACCCATTGTGTTACAACACCTTCCCCGTCACTGACGCGGCCAGTACAGGCCGGGGGGGATGTTAACTATAACGAGGGTGACTGGGTCAGGAGAACGTGATTATCCTCCTCCTCCTCCTCCTCCTCCTCCTTCTCCTTGCAGGGGTAAGGCACCTCCCCCCTCCCGGCTCGGCGCCCCGCCGGACCTTCGGCGAGCTCGTCGTGGCCGCGGCGGCCATCTGCTTCGCCGCGCGCCGGTTCTGGCGGGAGGGGGGCGAGAGGCACGGATGGAAGGATGGGAGAAAGGAGGAGGATGGTGTCAGGAGGGGGGAGGGAGGAACAGGTACAGTGGGGGCTCGGCCACAAGAAACCTCCGCAAGAAACCCGACCCTGAAATACGCGACTTCTTCGGTGAACATCCGCATGTGTCGATCGAAAGGCGTCAAGATCTGATTGGGAGCCCATCAAAATCCAAGAAACCCAGGGCACCCTGGCAAAATCGGACTGGTTTCTTGGCACGTGCCCCCACCGAAGGAAGAGATGGAGGAGGGGAGAGCAAGGCAAGGATGAGGCTGAGAATTGTAATCAGCTTGCGGCAGCGCTGGTCCTCCACATTCGGACGTTCTCGAGCACCTGGGGAATGACAAACTGGCTGCTGACGATCACCGAACGGTGACATCTAACGCGTTTTGTTTGGTGGCAGCCCGCTGTCGTGTAAAGCACCCGCGCTGCCTCGCCGAGCGCCCCCCATGGCGCCGCTGCGTGCGCCAGGCTGGGGACCCAGACTCAGGGGGGCCGACGCACACTTCTTACTTAATTAAGTTCCACACCCTCCCCCGACCCGGACGGCTGCGACCACGACCCTTGGTGGTCTCCAAACCAGGTGGTGAGACACCCGGTGGTGACCCCGATTCCCCCCAAAAATAATTCTGGGTCACCACCTGGTTTGGGGACACGCGATCGCCACGAGGTTTCGCGTTTCTGGGCCAACCAGCGCTCGAAAACCATTACCCAAATCGCCCAAAACTCACCACCGGGTGTTCTCACCACCACGTTTGGTGACCACCAAGACCCATCCCCCTGGGTACGATGCTCCCCGGAGCAAGATCCCGATCATGAGCGGGGCGCTCGGCCAAGGTCGTCGGGGCGCTGGGCAAGCCTGGGGGCCCCGCGAGTGCGGGCTGTCGCCGATGGCGCGCAGGAGGCGGGATGGATGCCATCGGCGGGGGCCGCCCCCCTACCCGGGGGCGAGCGGCAGGTGATCCCCGGGAGACTCTCAGTATGTGCGGGGCCATGCTGGTGCCCATCCACAACGGATGAGAAGCAAGGCTGGAGGATGAGGAGGAGGAGTCGAAGAAAGAGGAGGAGGAGGAAAAGGAGGAGGAGGAGGAGGAGGAGGGGGAGGAGAAGGTGGAGGGAGGAGACGGAGGAAGAGGGGTGCGCAAGCGGCGAGAACCATTCGTGGTGAAGCTTCGGTCCGAGTTGCTGGCATCAGAATGCTTCATTTTGTCTCGCGAGCGCCGGCGCAGTGGATGCGACAACAAATCGGCGCCGTCGTCGTCGCCGCCGCCGTCGTCGTCATCGCCTGAACCAAAAGCGTTGCCGTCAGCACCGCCAGCACCACCAGCATCGTCAGCATTATCTGTTCTGGGCGCCCCCCCCCCCCTGCTCCCGCCCATTGGCCACCCAACTCCCCGCCCCCGCGCCCCGCGATGCGCGGCTATCTTCGCGCCCCCGCGAATCAGCCCTTGAGAGAAGGCTGTCCCAGGCGCGCGACGCGCGATCATCCTCCATCCTCGCGCCCCTGGGGTCAGGAGGACGAGATTCTCGTCCTTTACCGTTGCTGGTCGTCCTCCCCCTTTTCCGCCCCTCCTCGAGATTCTGCTCCTCCTCCCCCTCCTCCTCCTCCTCCTCCTCCTCCTGCCCGTTTCCCTTGGAGGTGCCCGATGTGCACAGCACGTCGTTGGCGAATTTCGGCGTCAAGGAGCTCGGCGGAGGAATCCAATGTATACACGCTCTGGCGCCCCACAGCAAGTTGGGAAGGTCTGGAGCAGGGACCGACCGTCCTGGCATTCCTATAGTTCTACCACGAAATGTTCTTAAGACCCACAAAAGGTCTAATAACAAAAACCGTGTTCTTAGAACACTAACCCGGTGTGTTAAAAAAGAACAGTCTCAACCAGACATGTTCTAAGAACATTTCGTGCAAATCACAAAAGGTTCTTAGAACATTTTTGGGTGGGCCTACAGGCAAGCCAGGACGCTTCGCCACTGCTTGGAGGTCAGTCTCGTCTGTACACCGAGCCCCTCGGCCGACCAGACGACAATCTGTATACACTTCGAGCCCATCCCTATCCCCCAGGCGGCAACTTACGTGAGATCTTCGCAACAACTAGCAAGGACTGCGAAGGAGTGGCAGTGCAGCCAGATGGAGCCGGCTTTCGCCTGGGGTTGAGCCAGATTGAGCGCGTTGAAGCGGAGTTCGACGGGACCAGGCCAGGTCAGGCCGATATTCGACCGCGGACATACTGGTACCAATGCTGAACGAAGCCTCCCCGGAGCTGCATCCTAAGATGCATAATAACTTCGAGCTCCTCGAAGGCCAGTATCGGCGGTGAGCCCAGGGGGAAAGTGAGAAAGGGCGGGCCTTCCCAGAAAGCTCAGAAGTCCCCCAGCCTTCTGAGAAGTTTCCTACGCCTTCGCAGAAGACGCAGAAAACGTCTCCGAAGGCGCGAGGGCCTCTGAGAAATCCGCCGCCTTCTGCGAACGCCTTCTCCTTCTCACTTCCCCACCTGGCTCGCCGCCGAATTCGGCTTTTGGGTCATAATTCGGCTGTCCGGTGACCGTTCCGGATGATCCAGGTACCCTCAGAACGCCCTCGGCGAGGCACAGCCGCTGGAACGCATCCCGAGGGCGGGGAACCGCCGAGAACCCACGAAAAAGCCAGAAGACCTCGAACCTCGAGCCCGAAACTTCCCCCTTCCTTCTCAATTCCCCCCCTCGCCGCCGACGGCAGAGGGAAGAACACTAGGCCCGCGACTTCCCCGGTGCCCACTCCCTGGCGGACGCGTTTTTGGCAGAGCCATCCGCGCTCTGAGAGCGTGCCGGAACGCTCTGGAACGGATTTATCCTCGTCCCAGCCACGTCCGATGCAGTAGCGGCCCGACCATAGAAAACTTCCACAAGAAGCCAACCCCTGAGACCCCAGGACGTCCATCGATTCTTGGTGTTGTGAGCGTCACGCTCTATCGCAGAGCCATCGAAAACCAAGGAACCCAGGGCACACTGGAGGCAAGCAGGGTGTTCCTTGGCATGGGTGTTCACTGTACTTCGAGCTCCTCTCGGGCTGGGCGAAAGGGGGGACAGCCAAGGGGGGGTCTGAGAATCAGCTCGCGTAGCTGGTTTTCCCGGCGCCTCCCGGCGCCAGGAGGCGCCCATGTATCGAGGAGTGGGCCCGGCGGCGGGGCCGCAACCAGCTGCATGCAGCAGACTTCGTACCCCCCCTCCTTTTCCCTATCCTCAAGTCGGGCCTGTCCCCCTACAGGGGGATTTTCCACGAAAAATGAAAAATACCCTCAAAATAACAAAAAAATGCTATAAAAACAGTCTGGGTACAATTTTTGGAATATTCTTTGACCCTTTGGGGGTATGTTTGGGGTATTCTGTATTTTTCGTCGAAGGCCCCCTGTAGGGGGACACGCCCGACCTTTCCCTATCCCCCCCGTTCGTTCGGCCCCAGACGAGCGCCCGCATGCAAAGAGCTCCACCGAGCTCCTCCGGCCCCCGCGCGGCCCGCGGGCTCTCGAACGCGTGGGCGCTCGCCCTCGACGCTGACCCGCAGGCTTCTTCCCCGCCCCTCGGCGCGCGCCCCGGGAGGCGCCGAAGACGCGCCTGGCCCCGATCCTCCAAAGGCCAGGAGAGGGGAAGCGGAGAGAGCAGTGTAGGGGGCCACATGCGAACCCTACCCCTACCCCCCACGATTTCTGAGGGGGAGGGTGGGGTTCACTTCGCTCGGAACCTCCCGAACGAAGTGAACCCCACCCTCCCCCTCAGAAATCGTGGGGGGTAGGGGTAGGGTTCGCATGTGGCCCCCTACAGTGGGCACCGCCGAGAACCGACGGAAACGCCAGAAGACCTCGAACCTCGAGCCCGAAACTTCCCCCTTCTCGCCGAGAAAAAAATATGCACACGCCCGAGCGATGCCGGGAGGAGAGGGGAAGCGGAGAGAGCAGTGGGCACGCGCCTTCCCCGGAGCCCACTCCCTGGCGGACGAGCTCCTGGCGGAGCCCTCCGCCGGCCTGTCCACCGGCTTGACCTCCGAAGAGGGGCGGGGGCCGTCGCAGCGGGGGCGCGGCGAAGAGAGGAGGAGGGAAGAGGAGGAGGAAGAGGAGGAGGGAAGAGGAGGAGGAGGAGGAGCAGGAGGCGCAGGAGGAGGAGAGGAAGGTGAGGGAGGAGGAGGAGGAGGAGGAGGAGGAAAACGAGGAGGGAAGAGGAGGAGGGAAGAGGAGGAGGAGGAGGGAAGAGGAGGGGGAGGAGCAGGAGCAGGAGGCGCAGGAGGAGAGGAAGGTGAGGGAGGAGGAGGAGGAGCAGGAGGAGGACAAGGAGAAGTAGGAGGAGGAGGAGAAGGCAGAAGAGGAGGAGGTAGAGGAGGAGAAGGAGGATACGGGCGAGGAGGAGGAGGATAGGGAGTACAAAAAGGGGGGGGGAGGGGCAGGAGTGAGAAGCGTGGGGGGAGGGCACAGGGCGGAGGCGGAGGTGGGAAGGTTTATCAAGGGGCGGGTCGAGAAGCTGACGTGCAGATTTACAGACTCGTTGTCGTCGTGCCGTTCGGGTATGCGTTCACTGTCGGGTCACACGAAGACGCCCATGGTGCGCCACTCGAGGACGTCCCCGGCTCCCAGCCAAGCGGAGAGAGGATGGCGATCCTCCGCGTGGTGTCGCCCTCCTCCTCCTCCTCCTGCTCCTTTCCCTTCCTGCGACACTGCGACACAGGTAACCATAATACGATCATCGTGCTACCATATCGTGGAATTGGGAACGAAAAGGCTTCTCTGGCCACGGCGAGCCTCGGCCACGAATCCCCGACCTGGATGTACGGAATGGCCCGACGACCACAGCTCCCTCTGAGCCCCAAGTGGTCCTGGCCTCAACGTCTCGACTACACAAGCACCCAGAAATCGCAGAAACGCCAGAAGGGCGAGAGAAGGGAGAGGAGGAAGAGCAAGAGGGGAAACGAAGGAGAGGCCCGAGCCCTTCCCCCCGTCTGGCCCCGGGCCCTGCCCGGCTCCTCCGCGACCTCCCAACCGGGGGGCCCGAGCAGGTGGGGTCGGAGGACCGCGCAGCATCGGCGTGGAGAAAGTCGGGCTCCAAACCGAGCCGCATCGGCGATGCGGCGCGGTCCGCTGACCCCATCTACTCGGACCCCATCTGGGAGGCCCTGGCTTTCAGGCCATAACTCCACCCACCGACGGCCGTTCGGGACAATCAGGGCACCCCCGAAACGCTCTCGGCGAGGCGCAGCTGCTGGAACGCACAGCGCGGATGAAAAACCGCAGAGAACGGACGAAGATGAACGACGAAACGAAACGGGACGTACGCTAAATGACGTAACGACCTTACGCGGTGGCTGACGCGGGCCACCAGCGCGGCACGCTGCATTGAAAACGAGGGCTCGTAGGCGCGACGTTACGCGGGCACCCCGTTGCGGTCGTCTTGATTTACTCACATGTCGAACGCTTCGAACCTTGCTTCAGAGAACTTGTGTTTACCCGTCGGTCGGAGGAAGTGATGAAGTAGGAAAGCGGATGAAATAGATTGGGCTCGGGCCCAGAGAATTACCAAACACAGCAAGAGCAGAGCGATACGTGTATGCCCCCCCCCCTCCCAGGCAGGCGGAGGGTCGACCCCCAGCGTTCGCACTGGCAGCCTGGGCGCGGAGGCTCGCCGCGGGGCACTGCCGCGCGGGCGAAAGCACGGCCGACCAGAAGGCGGGCGAGGAGCAACAAGCCCTCCTCCTCCTCCTGCTCCTCCTCCTCCTCCTCCTCCCTCCTCCAGGTCACTCGTCACCCCGCCCCCTCCTCCCCCTCTTTTCCCCCTCCTCCCCCTTCTCCTCATCCTCATCCTCCTCCTCCTCAGCATCATCATCCTCCGTCTCTCCAGTCTTTTTTTGGCATTGGGCAAATTTGTGTCAGCGCGACCGTAACTTTCGTATGGCCACAACAAGAGCTCTTATGCAAAAGGGCTGCTTTGAGAGGCAATAGTGGCGAACAAAAATAAAGTGGCAGAACAGACTGCAGTACGATCCAAGTTGGGCAACGAGAGCTGGAAAATGATGGAACCCAGAAGCGGGTATTCGAGCATGCACAAAACAAAAATACCCCAACTCCCACCACTCCTCATACCCAACCCCATTCCAACTTCAAGGACCTCAGCGATGGTCAGTGCATCACGCATGTGCCTGGCTGGCGGTCGGCCCTCGAGTGGGGCTGTCCGCTGTCGCTTTCCTCCAATGGTCAGGCCTCCCAAACTCAAACCCCCAACAGATCCGTCCAACGCATCATCAAGGCCATCACCGAAGGACAATGCGAGATCTGTGAATGCGCTACAAGGCCTGCCCTATCCGGCCAATCTGGGCTGACATTTGCTGTCCTCACCTGGGCATCCGAACAAACTAACAAAACAAACGAAAACAACCACGGGACATGCAATACCCCATCATTGTCGCTGTTTCCCCCTCCACCCCGCCCCTATTAACTCAAACCGTCCTCCGTCATCTGATTGCTGGTGTGGTGCCTACACGCTACAATGCGGGGCCAATGTGACGATGCCCTGTGCCGATCTGCCTCCGAACATGCAATTTGAAGAGGGCCGTGCGAGAACCAGTGAGCCTCTCGCAGTCTCGAGGCACCCGTTGCTGGGCCCGGGCCTCCAGCGGCTTGAAGCACACACACACACAACGCACACAACGCACACAACACACATACACACAGACACACACACAGACACACACACACACACACTTTTTGGTCGGCAGCGAAGCGGCGAACTCCGCTCCAGCGAGAAGCTAGAAAGTGGCACTGACTAGCGAATTGGACGGCGGGCAAAGACGAGGGGGGGGGACGGCCGAGAGGAAGAAAGGATGCTCAGACGCCGAAGAGTTCGACGATGAGCAGCGGCGGGGGGGGGCACAGCAGCCACGCGCGCAGGGCCAAAGCGCGGTGGGAGGCCGTGGCGAACCACGGTTGCAAGGGTGGCGGGAGGGCGGCTGCCAGCAGCTGGAACTGGCGGGCGGGCGCAATGGGACATCACGAACGGCACAAGTACCGCGGCGCGCCGAATAGTAGGCACGGCACTGAGCCGCGCGGAAGCAGGAACGGTGGCAGAGGCACTGACAGGAGTATGGCGGCGGCCCGGGGCGCGCCAGGTGGCCAGGGGGCCAGGAGAGGCGGGGCAGGAGGCGGCCGGCGAAGCGTCCCAGGCGCCCGCAGGGGCGGGGCGGAACAACAGCGCAACGGAAGGAGGACACGCGGTTTGCCAGATGGAAGTGGCAACGCCGCCAGAAGGCTAGCAGTGACAAGGGTATTGCGGCGCGACCGCCCGGGGCGCGCCAGGTGGCCAGGAGGCCGGGAGGGGCGGGGCAGGAGGCGGCGGGCGAAGCGTCCTAGGCGCCCGCAGAGCGGGGCGGAACAGCAGCGCAACGGGAGGAG